AACTTTAAAAGGTTAATTAACCTATATTACAAGTTCCATTCATTTATTAACCAAAACATTTAATTCATTTGAAAAAAAAAATAGTTATAATTTTTTCAAAAAAGTTCATCTAATTTATTCCATGTAGCTCGGAAAAATATGCTTCTCCATGGACACGCGCATACATTAAGCTAATGAAAATTTTGCAAACCCGAATTTGTTATTCTAGTCAGGGGTGAGCAAAAAACCCGATGAACCCAATGAATCCGATGAACCTATCAAACCCAAACTATTTTAACCCGAACCTGACCAATTCGATCAAGAGTTCAACCCGCCCAATCTGACTATTAATTGGGTGGGTATGGGTTAAGTTTTTCTTAACTCAAATTAATCGGAACTCACCCAATCTATTTATCTATATAAATAAATATATTCATACCTCATAATATATAGTTTTTACCTCATAGTTTACATTATTTACGTGACAAACTATTATGTTTTACATTGTATGAGTTTTTGTTATTGTTTGTTTATTTGTTTACAACTTATATATTTGAACTTATCTTGCATATATTTTATTTTTATATTGGTTTATAACTTATATGATAATTGTAAAGCTTTATAAGGCTAATATTATGATGAAAGTTAGCTTTCTTTTTATACTTTTTTTTTTTGAGTTGAATGATTAACTTTATTTATTATTTATTTATTATTTCTCTATTATGTTCAACCCGATCAACCCCCCCAATCCATCCAAATTTTAATTGGACGGGTTGTTTTTAAATTTTGAGTTAATTGGGTAGGTTAAATTTAAAATCAACTCACCCAAACTTAATTGGGTCGGTTGAGAAATCTCAAAATGTAATGATCGGGAAAAATTTAGGTCTAATCCGGACAGTCCGGTATTTGACCGAAATTCTTTCCGGAATAGTAAGTAGTAGAATTTTGATGTAATAAAAAAATATTAGGTAGAAACTTTATGTACGTGGTAAAATTTCTCAAAATATGTAAAGTTATAATACAAATATTCTTACAAAGGAAATTCATAAATATCACTTATAAATAGTGAGATATTAGTTAAAAGTTAAAAATTTTAGCGGGTATATTTTAGTTATGAAAAATTGAAATATTTGGTATGTGACCAAATAACCAGCTAAAAAAAAATAGAAATATTAGAAGTAAGGAAAATAGCAAAAGTTCCTGAAACAGAATTTTTCTGAGTCAGTTTAAGCAGGAAACTGCTAAAAAAGAGTACCGCAAGGATACGCATTTGGGGCAATTCTGAATCAATTAAAATGATAATTTTAGAAAAAGAAATTGACTAATGAGATACCCAAGAGAATTGGGTTGAACATGAGAAGTTTGACCCAGGATACTCGACAGTCCAAAAAAAAGCAGGCTGAATAAAGTTATAATATATGTATATATATATATATATATTACATAAATGTTTATTTCTAAGTACGTTTCTTAAAAAAAATTAGATTATATATATATAAATGATTATTTCTAAGTACGTTTCTTAAAAAAAATTAGATTATCTAAATATATATATATATACTCTCACGGTAATAGTGAGATAAGTAAAAAAAAAAAAAAAAAAAAAAACATGCGACAGTAAAGTAAAGAAAAAAAGACATATTAGAGAGAGAGAGACGGAGAAGGAAAATCCAGCATTTTCACTGAGATTTCTTCCGTTCAGTCCAACAGAAACGTAATCTAAGGCGTTCTAGAGAAAAACCTCAACTTCTGGAGGTAAGATTTCGGATTTTTCATAAGAATTCTATGATTTCTTGATTTGGATGAATAGTAACCCATCTCGGAAAACTTCCGTTAAAGTAAAAATCGAAACTGAGGTTTTGTAGAGTATCGTAATAGGAGTTTAACGATGTAAGTAATAAAACAATTGAATGAAGTTTTGGTGGATTTCCATTGAAAATTCGTGAGCCTAGATTAAGATAGAACATATGTTTTTGTTCAATTTTATGTTGGAATCTGTGTTCAGGAATGCGAATCTTGACTCCAGGTACCGAAATCAGAAGTAAAACGAGTTATTAAAAACTCGGGAAATGAGAAAAATAAGGCGAAACTCTGCCAAAATTTAGTTTGAGTAATTTGAACTAAAACTGGATTTCAAGAGAAATAGGTGATTAAAGTGTGAAAAGAAAGATGTTTCGATAATCGGTGATGGTTAGAAACCGAACACAGCGAGAATTCACAGTTTTAGACCGAAATTAAAAATTAGGCCCATGACTGAGTAATTTGCACGATTTTAGTGCAAATCCTTGAGATAGGAAATGATTTGAGGTTGAATACCAAACATAAGGATTGTAGACTTTTCCGAAGTAAATTTTAATGTAATGGTTGATCTTAGATTCTGAATCTAACGATCGAAAAATTTATGCAATAGGGCCGACTAACGGTTGAAGTTGGAAAGCGTCAAGGGAGACAAAGGACGCGTTGTTAGCGAAACTTTGGTAAGTACAATAGTTTTTCTATGGCTATGTCACGAACAAGCTTGCTTTTCTATGTTGCACAAAGATTGTGCATATAGTAGAATTTTGAATGATAGATACAATGTGAATGCTAGATACTATGTTAGGTAAGTATCTACAAGACTTATGTAATCGTGGAACTTTATTCTGCAAAAGTATGTATCGATGTTAGGTCGAGATCAAACTAAGAAAAGTGAAATGTTAAAGTTTAACAAAAAGTTAATCTCATGATAAGATGCTCAATAATGCACAAATTTATAAGATTTAACTAAAGTTACCGTTTCAATAAGAAAATTGATAAACGGTAAGAGACTAAACGTCCTATTTGTACCAGCCTTCGAAGGAAAGGTTATTATGAGACTACGAAAGATATGAAACCGTGACTGAGTTGGATTGCTTAGCTACCCCCCTCCTCACTGGTTATGCGCGCTATGGTACAACAGGACAGGGCCCCTAAGAAGTAAAAGACAAGAAAATGAAACACGGAAACCATTCCATATAACGATATGGTATCCGTAAACAAGAGTGAAAAGAATGAGAAATACAGACTGAAAGTCGTTTAGAATTTTGTACTAGGTTTTATGATATGAATGCATTTATGGGTATGCGTAATTATTGCATCTGTTATGACCTATTGATACTTGCTGAGCAAAAGCTCATTAAGTTTGTTCGTGTTATAGGAAGCACGGGTAAGGCACCAGCTCCCTAAAACTTGATGCTGGGCATGCAAAGAGGGTGTAGCAGCGGAATGTGGGCAAGTGGGTTGTGGACGCATCATGTGTTTTGGAAACGCTGCTGAACTTTATATGTAAAATAAAATAGTGTTTTATGTATTTGATGACTAGTGTAATAGAATGTTGTCAGAATGCTACAGCATTTTAATGTACATGGTAAGATATGGCCTGAAATTTTAAGAAGTTATAATTAGGGTCGTCATAGAGGTTAAGAAATGCTAAATATGAGTATAGGATGACGATCAAAAGTTAGGGTCGTCACACAAAACCCCGCCCAATATACCCGATGTTCATCCTTATTTCTAGTAACTAGACCAAACCAGAAGAAGCACACTGTTAAGTAGTTAGGATACCCCGCCTTTGGAATATTTTTCTATGTAGTAGAAATGTCCTGAATTGATCTTGTTTTGTGATAACAGAAATATCCCTGGGCATATGGTGTACGTTAATTGGCTTCGTGGGTTTTTCCCAGCCAAGCAAAAAGGTAAATGAACTGACAATTGGATCCCGATACGAAGTCTAAACGCACTTTTTGTGTTTCGTTTCAATAAAAAAGATTACAATAAAAAATCGTACAATGTTCTCTCCCACAATAACCTTATAAACAATACCCACTCAATATAAAGAATATTAGGGCAACTCAAATTACAAGTATGAAAACTCTAAAGTATCCTAAATGAAAATTAAGATTGGTTTGCGTGTTGTCTTTGCACCAGGACAATAATTAAGATGGACATACTAAAAATTGTTTTTACATAAAAAATAACCCCGTCCCAAACTCCCCATTACCATTTTTACTATAGAACAACAAGAGTCTCTCTCCCTAAATTGTGCAAACCATTCAAGTTCTCACAGGATTCAGAGGTGATTGATCTCTTTGATCGATTGCTTGGTGATACGACATGAATGCACCGGACTTTCTACTCTAAAAATCCTCCGTAGTAGGAGAAATAAAATTTAATTAGTTCTTTAAACTATTTTAAATCTCTCACCCACTTTATTATTCTCTCATCTTTTCACTTCTACTAAACAATTATTCATACCAAAATCTTTCTACTAGACCGCACACCCGTCTCCGTCCTTCCATTTTTATAACCCATCACACAAGCTCTAAATCTAAAATTTTTCACCCCAAGTTTTTCTCTCGCATTTTCGCAAGTAAAATACACCATATAAGGTACTTCAGAACTAGACAAAATATACATTATAACCCCACAAAATGCAATATCTTTGTTGGATGACACATGGCAAAAACCTACCGATAAACCACAAAACAGGACAGAAAATCCTTGTTCTTTCTGCTTGCCGTGCCTGAAGCAAGCTTCCTCTACACCTCCAGTACTAATTCTGCACACATTAGTAGTGGCAAGCTATGAGGAATAATTAGGTCCACTTAGACTTATCAGTATCAAATACTCTAGTGGCTGAATTCCAGTCCAATGATCTGGTGGCATTAGAGCCACAAGTAGAGGATATATACGCGTATGACTCACTATCTTAGCGACGGAGCTACGGTATGACTACTCGTTTTTGGTTGTGTACAAGCAATTTATCAGGTGGTGTTGGATGATAGAAAAATTCGACATGACTGGTGAAAATTTGATTTATTTTGTCGAGTGGGACCTAACAATAAAAAATTTAACGATCCAACTAATTTTGTGACCATCATCTAACACCTAAAAAAACGTTGCACATTACGATAAAATTTGACTAGTCATACCGTAGAGGACCTCCTATCTTAAGCCTTAATATATAAGTTCCCCACCTTCACACCCATCTCCTTCATCAACAATTTGGTCCAAGTGTTTTCTCAATTTTATTTCCTCTTTAGTTCCTTCTGAAAGTTCAGATTTAGTTAAATTTCAATTCCATAACCATGTTAGAGGGAAAAGCAGTGATCGGCGAGACAGATATGTTGCAAAATATGCAACAATACGCGCTCGATTTAGCAGCTAAAGCCCTTGATTTCTTTGACGTCACAGAGGCCACTGAAATAGCCCGTTTCATTAAAAAGGTAAGCACACTAATACCAAGTTAACCAACAATGTAAAGTTTCTGATTTTTCTATGCAAAATGAGGATTTTTGTTAGAAATCTCTTCTGGGTACTGACCCTTTTTTCCCTTTATGTATTTATTTATCTATTTTTGTGTGTTTGGTTACAGGAATTTGATAGGATGTACGGACCCGGTTGGCAATGCATTGTAGGGACAGATTTTGGTTCATTTGTCACACATTGTTCTGGCTGTTTCATCTATTTCTGCGTAGGAAGTCTTGCTATTTTGCTCTTTAGGGGATCAACTGGTTCCGAATCCGAGACTGACCAGTTTGCAGCCTTGGAGACAGTCAAGGCTTAATTGTTTTTCTACTCCATTCATGCTGTTCTTGTATCTTGCCTTGTTAGTCCAGAGTTGAATGACAAAAGTTCAAGAAAAGGAAACAAAAATTCTGCAGAATTTAGATTCATTAGTCATATTTTACAATTTTAAATTTGTTTTCATTGATATGCTTGTATGGCATTAATGTCTAGTTGGTGTTTCTTCCATAGGACCTCAGGCTAACCTAAACGATTTATTGCGAGACATAATTGGGCCCAAAAAGAAATTTGTAGCAATTCTCTTGTGTAAATACCAAATTTTAAGAATGAAAATTACATGCCTACTGAAGAAGCCACTTTTTGCCAAAAAAATATTTATACATGATGTTTTAGTAGAATCTAGATCTGTGAAGAAGAAATACAAGGCCAGGACGAAAGACCAGAAAGCAGAAAGGGAAAGATAAATTAAAAATACCCAATTTTTATTTTGATGGAAATGAGCAAATTCCCGTTAACAATGAAGGTCCCTTTTTTTTTTTTTTCCCCTTGTTGTCTTATTTGATGGAATTGCCAACAGAACTAAAACACATCTCTTTTTTTTTTTTTTTTTGGTTTTCATTTTTCAATAGAAAAGGACATTTTTGTTCGGATTAATTTTACATGTTATATTGTTTGGTGTATGAGAGCAAGGATAGGATCGAATATAATAAATTAAATTCCATGACATTTGGAGTGGAATGGATTAGAATGGAGTTACTATCGTATATTCGTAGTGGTCATAATCCGCAGGATAAAAAAAAAACTCTTGTTATTCATATTTTTACTAGATATTGAACTTTGTTGGGATTTGATTCCCAAATCTGTTTTGATTTTTGCATGATTATTTTTTGGTGATTCACATCATTTTGAGAATGTTTGACTCATTGATTTGATTAAGGTAAGATTGGCAGTTGGATATCTTTCTTTGGAAAGGATTTTTTGATATGAAAACATCATAAAGTTTTTTATTTTGAAAGTCAACTATTGCTCCAAATATGGTTAATTTGTAATTGATGGGATGATTGATATTTGGATGAGAGTCAGCAGCTGGATGAATCTCTCTTGCTTCAAAAGAACACGTCCAAGTTCATGTGTCAATTATGAGAAGATTTTAAGAATATGCGTGATTGATTTTTAGATCAATTTTGACAGCTCTGTTGTAGTGGTTATTTCAACAGAATCTGCAACAGACTGTGTGCAGCGGATTACATTGAAGTTTTTGACAGCTTGTCATTTTGGCTATTTAATTAAAGCCTCACAATGGTTTAAACACACCTTGAGAGCCTTAGAATTTCAAAGAGTTAGATCATTTTGTGAGTGCTTATTTTTCATATTTCTTCAGGAGAGAGAATTTAGATTTTCAAGAGAAAACTGTATTACTGAAGAGATTTTAACATTGTACGTCGAGAGAAGCTCACTGAGCAAATCCATTGGGTAGTTGCAATATCATAGGCGTCTTACTTAGAGAGACAGTCTTAGGAAGAATAAGTCCATTTCAATTATAATTTTGGTTACTTAGTGGATTATTCATACGTCTGGACGTGGCCCTGCAAAGTAGGTGATTACTGAATCGCGATATCAATTTTTTTGTGTCTTTTACTATTTTATGCTTCTTATTTGTATGTTGTAACAAGTTTAACACAAACTTAATTAAGAGACTCAAACCGATACTAACAAACTTCTAAATTTATTTCAGTATTCAAGCATTATCTTAACTATTATTAATTAATTAAAGAATAAATTAAAAAAATCAACTAAAAGAAAAATAATGACAACTCTCCCTCTCCCCCAGAAGTCTGACAGCCACAAGAACGGGCAACCAAGTAGCGACCATGCCGACTTGCTCTACATAAGTTGGATCATGCGCCCTGAAATACGACGAAGCCAGGAACTTCTTTTGTTGGGGTGGAAGTGAAACCAAAGTTCTAAACTAAAATAATAGTGCAATTATTATTTTATTTTACTATTTTTCTATTTTTAATCCAAATAAATCAATCTTCTAATTAAATTCACTTTTCAAAGTCTACAACTACAAATTATGAACTTATGTCATATTGTTATTGATTATTGATTTATTTAGCAATTTAAGTTTGAAATATGAGAAACTCAAAACTAAGATTTTAAGGTATAATTGAAATGTTTCATAAATTTACAAATAGAAATTTTTAGGAGGGACAACATAAGGGAAAAATGTAAAATAAAAATTTAATTGGGGTAATATCAAAGGGGCCACCTTGTGCCAGTGAGGGCAACCATTCGGTCTAAGATGGCTCGGCCACTGTCCACATGCATCGTCGTCAAAAATCTTGACTTTCCAAATGTCAATGGGATGGGGGCGGGTCTGACTCACGCATTTTGGATTGTGGAGGCAGGGCGGGTTGTGACCTGCTTTGTTAGCGGGGTATGGCAGGTCGATCCAAGCCCGACCGTTTACATTAGGGGGAAAAAAAAACACATAATTTTAATCAACTATTCAGTTACGGGGTTCTTCCATTTGATGTTTGATGAGAGCATATCATGTCATAGGTGCTTCTTAGTATCATATCAAGTTTCTGGTCAATTGGTGAGAGAGGAAATGGGGTGAAATAAGAGACAGGAAAAACACTTCTTGTGTGTATAATTTTTTGGTTTTCTTTCTTTTTTTTTTTTTTTTTTTTTTTTCGATTCGGAACTTGCTTATTAGTTTCCCAACTGGATGATAGTTTTTCTTTTATTTTTCTCAACTTTAATGAAACACTGTAAGAGTCAATTTCTTATTCACTCATTTATTATTTTGCACATATGAATATATCATTTTAATCTTCTTATAACAAAGAACATAAACATATTGACCTGTCACTAACACGAAGTTGATCATGCTCAAAATAGAGATTCAAAAACAGTTTTTTATTTATTTATTTTTTTAAAAATAGTGATTCTATCACCCTCTTTTTTTACTCTTCACACCCCCTTATAACTACACAGCCCTACATCATTTTCAAATGATTAACTTTACTTTTCACACACCCTTATTATTCCTAATTACCCCTAACTAATTATTTCAATGAATTTTTAATTCTTAACATTTTCATTTTTCTTTTCACGCCCACCATATTTCCTAACTTTTTATTTTAATATTATCATTTATCCATCTCTCTATTCTTTTTTTTCCTTGCTTTTTTTGGTAAAAAATATTCAATTCAGCCCAAAAGCAAAATAATGACAACCAGGGTGCTCCCAAATCAGGAGGCAAGCTCACCAGAGCCAAAAGCAAAATTAGAGGTGACAGTTCGGCCTTGGGCTCGACGGCTTGAATGGAAATTTTAGTTTGGATGAGGAACGGCCCAACCCAGCTCTAAGCTTGATTAGGGTCAGCCCAACTCGAAATTTTATAAGGGAGAAGAGAGAAATAGGCCAAGACTTGAGATGAATTAAAATTAATAGGCCAAATTATTGTTTTCGTCCATAACTTGTCTGGTTATGAACCATAACTTGACAAGTTATTCCCGAATTTTGTCCATAACTTGTCTGGTTATAAACCATAACTTGACAAGTTTGTCCATAACTTATCTGATTATGAATCATAACTTGACAAGTTATAGCCTATTAATTTTTATAACTAAAAGTTGGCCTATATTCTTTCTTAAGCTTTTCATATTGGCCTATTTCCTACTATTTCTCATTTTATAAGGTATTTTTTTTTAAATCTTTAAAATGAGAGCTTTTAGTTAAAATAACGATACTTATTAAAAGTTCAAATATTGGCATAACCATTATATATTTGTGCTGATTTTTTTTGTCTCTTATATCAAAAAATTAATTTAAGTAATGAAGAATTCTATTAGTAAGCAAACTTTTTTTTCTTACTTATTTTAGTAAGCAAACTTGATCAGATAAGCACGTACTACCAATGACTTGATATTAATATGTTTTGCATTCAAACCCAAAGCAAAATTAAAAAGGTAATACTTTCTCAAGTACAACAGTATTTGTCTTCAGACCAAAAAAAACAAAAAAAAGTACAGACACAACTTTTCCATGATCAAGAGCCTCACTCTCAAAAACAAATCAAGCGGATATAGCACTGATCAAACTGATCAGCGCAAAATTAAAAAGATAATAATAGTAAGATCTAATTGGCAAGAACCTCATAGCTACGTTGTGGAACCTTTTTGAAGATGGACAAGAGAAGATCAAAGTAGAGAGACAATTGCGCAAAAGCAAAGAACGTGATTGGGAGACACAAAAAAGCATATAAAGGATAAGCTACGTATCTCAATTGACCATTAAGAACGAATAAATGTCCAGCGCAAAACGACACCAACATGGATGCTATGGAAGCGAAGAGCGACGTCAAACCAAGAAGAAGTTTCCGAGGCAAGTCCAAGGCGAAGTCCTTCACCTGGTACCGAGAGGTTAGGATGGAGAGGAAGAAGACGAGGGCGGTGATGGAGAAGCAGAGAGCGGCCAAGGATGAGATGGCGAAGGCGTTGAAGGCGGGCTCGTCTTCGAGTGTTGGAGTCCCCTTGTCCTCATTGATTCCGCCGGGGACGGTTGAGGATGTCGCGAATGCAACCGTTGCTACGAGAGCTGCCACGACGGAGCAGGACTCGGAGGTTTTGCCCAGCCATTCGCTTCCGTCTTTGATGAGATCTTTGTGCGTACTGGCGAACACTTCATCTGGCTTCTCTTTTTTTTCGTTGTATTTACGGAAGTAGTTTGGTGGCATGCTGTTCTTCACAAACTGCGGCACCAAACTAATATATCACGTAGAAATCTTTTAAAAAATAATAATAATAAATAAAAGAGAGAGAAAGAAAGAAATAAAGAAAAACCATGCATTTTTTTTTTTTTTGGAAGGATTGATTTGAGATTTCGAAAGGGAGATTGTGGGAGAATTTATGCCTCTTCTTATTTTTATTATTTGATTCCTTGTTTTGAAGTAGCAAATATTTCATTCTGAAAAAAAAAAATGCAAGTATTTCATTGTATGTCATAAATCTGTTATTAATTAATATATTATAATTTTGTTGATAAGTACTAGGAAATGAAAACAGAAAATAAAAAATAACTTTCAATCGTTTTCTAATTTCTTCACAAAAATCATTCTTACTATTTTTTATTTTCATTTTCGTTTTCTAAATATTTGCTAAACAAACACGGTTTGAAGACGGTTTTCATTTTTATACCTTAAAAGATGTGCAAAATATTTTCAAAAACAAGAAAAAATCAATTCAAAACGCATCATTTATATTTTAGTTCAAAGATGACATCGGTTATGTCCTCGCCTGTAATCACTAACCTTGAAGTGAGGTTCAAGTTTTACACTCCATAACCTCACTTTAAGGTTCCTGCCAAGTCAAGGGACTATGCATTTGCAGAAAGAAAAAACAAAAAACCTAATTACCGGTGGGTGTTGGTGTATATTATAACAAAAATTTATAGGTTAAGCATATGTACCTGAAACCATTTAAGTTCCCATTGCATTTGCAGGGCACTTCCAGAGATGAGCCAAGGGCGATACTCCTTGCATTGAGTGGCGGCCAGGTGCAGAGCGCTGTTACCTTGATTGTCGACGTGCCGGAAAACGCTGTCGGTCGGAATATTCTCCTTTTTCAGAAGGAACATGTAAACATGGGGTTGTCTGTTCTCTATTGCCAAAAGGGCGACGTTCTTTTGTTCAGCGTCCTCGTCTTGAATTGCCACTGGAAATTCTTCGAAGATCTTCTCTACCATCTCAGTTATTCCTGCCTTCGCAGCTATCAATATTGGTGTTTGACCTTTCCCTTTCTTCTCTGCGTGCATGATGTATTATTAAGTTATAACAAATCGAAGTGTATATGTATTAGTTGTTTATGATTCATAATAATGAAATAAATCTTCATGCTTTGGCAAGTTAGCTTTTAAATTTTAAATTTTGACATTATTCACTCATGAACTTAACAAAGTGTACTTGCACACTCGATGACGTTAGAATTTGAAAGAAAACACCATATCACATGTTAGGCGAACTAGTTTGAATGAAAAGGCTGGAATTTCCAATGAAACACATCCTTGTCACATGCATGTGGATGTTTTCTTTCACATTTTAACATATTGATCATCAATTTAGGAACTCTAGAATTAGGTGACAAAAGCACCAAAACAAGATACATATTCTTGGAAAAATAAAAGCTATTTTCAGGGAGGGAAAACATAACAGCTAGCTTGACAAGAAGGAAAAAAAAAAAAAAAAAAAAAAAAAAAAAAAAAAAACCCGCTAACTCGCTTTTATGCATCCGGCATAAGGATACATAATTAATGGTATTACTCGTCTTCTCTGTAAAGATTTATTATAGTGTGGTAATTAATTAAGTTAAGCTTAATCGAGTATACTATAAAGATATAATTTTTAGTGTTTCTTATGGGGTAGTTAATTACATAAATACATCTTTTAGTTTCATTTTTCTTCTCAATTTATGTCTACGTTTCTTGAAAATGAAAAGAAATCCTTTAGATTTGATCAAATATTCAATTTCATCCCTCGCGCATTTTTTTATTAAACAAAAAAAGAACGAGAAACCCTTGAATAGTTTATGAGAAGAGTATTCTACACATTTAAAAATATCAAAATCTATAAACAAAATACTTTTTTTTAAAGAAAAAATATCCACCGCCCATATTGTTTTTTTCAATGAGTATTTAATTTTTTTTGTCTCTTTCCCCTGTTTTTTATTTTGTCCAAAATGGGAGGGACGAAAATAAAATATAATTTTCCAAATTTTCACAACATATTTTTGGTTTCTAAAAAAAAAAAAAAGAGATAAATTGAAAAACAAGTTGAACTAAATTAAGGTATATTTTTGTAATTTATCTACTGTTACCTTGATCATCGACGTGCCAGAAAACGATGTCGATCGGAATATTCTCCTTTTTCGTAAGGAACTTGTAAACATGGGGTTGTCTGTTCTCTATTGGCAAAAGGACGACGTTCTTTTGTTCAGCGTCCTTGTCTTGACCTTAATTAAGTAGAGTACATAATATAAGTATGCAATAGTAAAGAAGTCCTGTTCATTTTACTGATTTGAGTTTAGAATTCGAATTTTGTTACAATAAAAAAATTTTAAAAATTATTAAATTTAATTTTTTTACTACAATAAAAAATTATTATATAAAATCACATCTTAATTCGAATTACAAAATTAAAACAGTCCAAAAAAAGCTGCTGGGAAAGTATAATATTTGAACCTACTAGATTGGTATAAATTTGTGCAGCTAGCAAGCATATAAAATGTACTTACTGTTTATCTCTTTTTCTGTCACTTCGGCAGGATTAAAATCAGGAATTTCCTGAGCTTTACGACGATCGGGCTCTGATCCAGTGTTGCCATACGATATGTAGAGTTTGGTATACTCCACCAATTTCTCCATGACAAGTTTGGCCCTCATGTGTAGTTCTTTCTTCCTTTGAAGCTCATTTATCCTCCAAATTCCTGCAACCATGTGGCTAAAATCTTCAGGTATAATTTTCATTAATTAGTAAAGGTATTTGCAAGGGTTTAAAACGGTACGTACCAACTTAGTCGGGATGTTATTTTTCATTCTGGTGTTAGTTATTTATTCTCATCATTTGTTTGAAAAGTTAGAGGTACATACTTATACTAATACGGTAGATTTTTTTTTTTTTTAATAAAAGTTTTAAGGATTAGGTATCTATTCATTTTTTATTTTATTTATTTTACCACTTAATTAATTAAAAGAAAATTTTTGAGAAAAGTTGCGTAGAATAATAACGGCTACTCATGATAAAAGCTTGAAAAGTATACTCAAATCATAATTCTTGATTTTAATATTTAAAATTTAAATTTTTTGTGAGAGAAAAACACTGCAGCAGAATCAATGAGTTGAGTTCGAATATATGAAACAAACGGACCCAAATTCATCTCGGTTTCCTTGTATATGAGACATTTTTCTCTAACGAGCTTTCTATAGTAAAATTTCTCTATCAATAATAGACATTATATTTAAGATCTAGTTAAAATTGATCATATCTAAATGAGAAAAAATATATATACAAAACTGACAAAATCTTATATGATGGTTTTTTGACTATCTATTAAATATAATTTTTTCATCCCTTACGGTAGAATTCTCTCCTCTCTTTGAGGTGATCCACTCTCACCATTTATATTGATGTACTTAAAAGTAATATGATAGTTAAGTACATACCCACTCCGAGGATGACTAGAAAGACCTTCAGCACAAACTGTGAGAGTAGCACGAGCGTGTCATAATTGGGAGGAAATAATCTTTCTCTATTATCGTCCATCTTTACTTCCTCAAAACCTAAATGACAAAAAAAGAAAAAAGAAAGAGTAACTACTTTTACTTTCTGCCTGTGTATTCTTCACAAGAAATAATAATTAACTAAAACTTATGGTTAAAAAAAAACTATTGATAGAATATGTAGTATGATTATTCGTCTTGTTAAACCAAATAAAATTAAATATATATAGCCTTGATCAGTGTCGATAAACGAGGTATAAAATAAGTAATAATGTTTTATTCCTTTAAAGAGAAGGGGTACAGTATTAATTCTATTCCATTAAATAATCAAATTACAAAATATTTTTAATTCATGACATAGTGCTTTCAATTTTCAAATTAATTTCAACCACATAAAGCAATTGATTTATTTTTTATTCTTTTTGATGAGTGAGTATTTTACTCTTAAATCACGTACTTTTGACCTTAATTATTTGTGACATTCTCAAGCATTTGTGTTTGTTTGATGTGTTTTTATTTTATCTGTGTGTAGGTAAATTAAGTGCAAAAAGGATTGGATTAGAAAAAAAAGAGGGAGCAAATTTGACTTTGGAATATATTTTAGTATTTGGAGCATAACTTTGTCATTCGAAATTCAAATGAGATGATCTTTGTGGCTTTGAAAAGATAAGAGACAGAGCTATAATTTTCATGAAGGCACCAAACACAAATTCGTCCATATAGAAGGCGAAAATCCTCATCAAAATCACACAACCATTGCAGCAGGAAATTCATCCGCAGCAACAGATTTCCAGCCTGAGAGCAGGAAAACCACACACCCGCTGCCCGCAGGAAATTCATCCGTTGGATCCGTTGAACTCCTCTAGTTAGGGTTTCTCTTGATCTTAGACACATAATATTGTCATTTTAGGGCTGATTTGAGGGGGATATAAAAGGAAAATGAGCCAATAATTAAAGGGGGAGGAAGAAGGAAAAGGAGGCACAAAATCTCATGAGAAGATGGTGGATTCAAGCTTTGAAGATCATTCTTCCAACATAGTTTTTCCTTCTTCCTTTATTTCCTTTTAAGTTTTTAGATTTTATTTTTGGTTATGGATTCCTCTGTGTTGAGCTAGATTATTATTCTAAGACTTCATGTAACCTTGTTTGAACTATATTTTGAATAAATTTTCAATTGTTAGTTTAAATTCCATTTTAATTTATTTATGTTTCTCTATTTTTTATGTTTCTAATTTATATGGCCACTGAGTTAGATAATTTTATATTGTGATTTTGATGCTCAAGAGAGATTGATTTCATAGTTCGGAATTAGGATATATAGTCTAGGTTGTTGTGAGTGCGAGAAGAGATTGACACTTAGATAATCTCATTGAGAGTTTAGGATATTGTGAGACCGGGAGCTGAGGTGATCATGACCTTGATTATCAACTAGGATTTCAATTGTTATGAGGTTTGGAGGCAATCTGACATTTGAGTTCTAATTTGAGGGCTAAACTTAATGAGTGTATGAGTAAACAGGTTAGATAGGAATATGAATTCGGGTATTCATGCATATGACTTCGTTTGACGCTCGAGAGAGGTAGCGAGGTTAGATTATGCCCCTTAATTAATGAATTGAGTGGAATTGGCTAGCATCGGCTTAATATGATGAACATAGGAATAATAAGATGAAGTCAAGTCCCTAGTACACTTGTGTATAGAAGTTTTCATATTTTATCTTTTTTTGGTATTTATATCTATTTAAGTTCTATTTTATTTCATTTAGTTCCGTTGCATAGATAAATTTGAGTTACAATAATCACGGTACTTAGCGGTAATTTAACACTCAATCTTTATAGAGACGATACTCACTCACTGTATACTAATAAAACTCGACACCGTACGCTTGCGGGCGAACACTCTTCCTATTAATTTTTATATGATTCTTGTTAACATTACCATTTTAATAACGCAGCCAAACACAAGAGTAAACGATTAATTCTAAAATGTAAGTAAACGATTTGTCTTACAGTATTGCTTGAAGCTGCTAGTTTGCTTCGAATCTTTCTTCTCGCCAGTGGTGTCTTCAATTTTCTCTTGTCCCTTGGCTGTACCAGAGAAATACATTCAAACAAAAAAAGAACAAGGATTGAAATCTTTTAACTGAAAAATAAAGATATTAGATAAATAACATCATATGAAAAGGCTCTTACTTATTTAGATTGATTTTCAGACAAAAGCATGCATGAAGTATTGAAAATTAATGGCAACATAATCCTAGTTACTGCTGCTCCTAACTCGTAAGAGTCTTTTAGCTAGATACGTACTATATTATATGAATGATATAAAGATACTCATGAATTTGTTTATTTATTAATCTCAAAATTAATTACTTACGTACCAATTAAAAATTGTGTGAATCTTTCTTCACTATACTTTGCATTAGTTAGTGTTTTCACTCAAAACATCAAATTTGTCTAAAAATGTATCATAATATATATCTGGCGATGGAATGATTTTTGCAAATCATATATTTAATTTGACTCTATACATACTTACATACATACATATATATATATACACACACACACACACACACGCAAATACATACATGATGTCCATTTTACACCTTTAACACTACTCGCTTACAAGATGAGCTCGCTGTTGAACTACTTGAAACACCTTGTGCACCATCTTTTTGTTCATCTGAACCCACAGTCGACGGGGAAGATGGCATTTCAGACCCATATCCTACAGTAGTTTGTCTTCTATGATTATGTCATAGTATAAATATCAGTTTTCACAAGAAAATTGCTTGACGTACGGATCAGTAGGGTGCTTTATATGTGCAACTATAATGTAGGACCCATCTTTTATTAGTTTATGGTGCTAGACATTGCCAGTCTTTCTAACTTTTTTCTTTTTCAAGACTAGTTATTTGTATCACTAGTAATAGGATTTTCTCTTTGTCCTCAAAACAATAGTAAAAGGGATGTCATATTAGATGATCAAGATAAAAGAGACAATATATAAAATATAAAACCACCTATAAAGAGAGAAAGTAGAATAAAAAAAGAGAAACAAATGAATCAATAGAAGAACAAGAACTCAACTTACAAAGAAATGAAACTAATAAGCTAAACTTTACTAAATTTAAAAACTCCTAAGGGAAAAGACATAATCTTAAATTCAAGTTCAATGCTAAAATTAAAAGATACCATAACCTAATAGATAACTATACAATTCAAATATTTAAAATATTCTAATATTGTTCTCATGAAGGAAATATTGCACAATTATTTACCTAATCCTAGGGGATTCTCCTCATCTTCATTGTTACCACTGTTTGAAGTACGTCCAACTACAAAATAAGATCAAAGATGGGGTTCTAATAAGTATTTGATAATTTTACAAGGTTGGAAACTGATATATATAAATGTGTGTGTGCGTGTGTGTGTGTGTGTGTATACACATATAATCAGTATAAATTAAGATTTACGAATTCACCCACTTATTGCTCGAAACAATTTTTTAAGCAGAAAGTTGAAGAAGTTCATGCACGTCTCATAGTTTTTTGGATAATGTTCTCCGATGTCAATGTCTTCTCCACCAATGTGTCTTCTGTATTTCTCAATCTTCTTCTTTTCAGATGCTCCCAGCTTCTTTTTCACAATAATATTTAAGTCCACATACAAACCTGGAATTTATGATAATGAAGCAACTCGAGAATATATATATATATATATATATATATAAGAGTGGAAAGAATAAACTAATTAATATAAAACCCACATATACATGCATAAAAGATCAAAGACCGATGGAAAAAAAACACACACACACACACAAAATCCTCCAAAACTACATCAAAACTAAGAACATCTCCAATACAAATGTGAATTGTATATTTAGTTCCAAAAATAAGATAAGAGATATTATTTTATTTGTATTTCAATACATAATGTTGTTTAAATGCTAAATTAATTTTCCTCTGTAATTATTAAGGTTTGAAAATTATAAAAGTAAACTTTTAATTTTAAAATAATTTAAAATTTTAAAAGTTATAATGATTACGTAAAATAAATAAATATATCAACGTATAGCAATCAAATGTCAAATTAATTTTTCATAAGTTATATTTGTGGCAACTTATCACAAAATATACCATGTGGCAAATTTGGCATAATGCATGACATTTGTATTGGAAAGTGTTTATTACACTACTTAAATATTAAATTTGTTATTAGCACATCAATCATAGCATTACATAGGTGATGCTCTAAAGAATGAATGCAAAGGAATAGCCACTTAAGAAAACGTGATTGTTCCTGTTTTTCAAATCCTTTTTACTCCGAGCTTTATGTTTCTAAATTTTTTTATTTCTCAGAATCTTCTTTCATATATTGTCTTCAATTAATCATATCCTACAAATCAGCCTAAGAACCCAAGCTACAATATCCATCTTTGACTAAACATGTGGGAGATCATCGATGATATAATTAGTCAAAAAATGAAATTTTAAGTCTGGGTATTTTGCTTTCCACCAGATAATATTTTCCTTGGCTGTGATTTTGTTACACAATCTTTTTGGGGCCGGATTTTTTTGGAAGTAATACCACATATTCAAGATTAGACAACACCTGTTTAACAAAGTTCTTGGGAAAACTTCATCTAATATACTATAAAAACACGCCACAAAGATTTCCTTGTTTTAAAATCCGTATGAGCACATTAAATTTTCTTGTAAACAGTCATCTGAATTTGATGATAGTTTCTAAAGTATCTCCTTTTTGTACAAGTGAAGTTTATGCATATATGTAGTTTTATAATTCATGCTTTCATGAAGTTTTATGTAAACTCTTTGACTTGATTAACAGGAAATTGACTCATTTTGTTCATTTACACTTGTATTTTTGGTGGAAGTACAAAACTTAAAAAAGAAGATATTCTTATAGATTTCAAACACTATAGATTATAGATTTATACAATATCTGCATTAAATCACTAAATTGTAAACTCATATATTCATGTGAATTTGAAAATTGTTAATATACGAAAATATTGGTACGGCTCATCAATCAGTGAAAAAAGATTATACTAATTTGAATGTCATCAAATGAATTTTTTTTTTTTTTTATGGAAGTCACAAATGAATTTTTGCTATAATGATGATAATAATAATAATAAACTATTATCGAGATTTGTAGAAGTAATAAATTGCTATGACATTTACTCTTCTTTTTTCATTTTTATGATTTTGGGAGTATAGAAAAGAAAAAATAAATAAAGCACAAATTTGGATGCATAGTTTTGTTACTATTTTTAATAAATTTGTGCAGAATTTTTTCTCTGGCACTATTTTCTAAAACAAATGGTAAAAATAAAATTTGCTAATTAAAAGATGTAGGTAGGAAAGAATTCATACAGTAGTATATAAATCGGTCAAATGTTCTAAGTTGAGTGCTGCTTTTGAAGGCATTCGGCTTATTGGCCAGAACATGAAGTGGAGATAAACCATCCACATTCATAGCGTCGACTAAATATTGGTAGTCGTCAATTATCTTCATTGCCATATCTACAAAAAGGAAAAAAAAAAAATTTTTAAAAATACAGAAAATATACTAAGTTTGCTTTTGAAAAGCAAAAATTAATAAGAAAATTACAAACAAAAAAGATATAAAAGAACACAGAAAAATACATACCAACCAAGTTTTTTTTTTTTTTTTTTTTTTTTTTTTTTTTTTTTTTTTTTTGAAGAATACAAATTAGACAAGGCAAAAATTAGAAGAAAAAAATTAATACAAAACCATAATTGGACAAAGTGTGACACTTATTCTTTTCGCGTTACATATAAAATTAACCCTTTTAATTAAAAATCCTTATTCATAGTCATGTTTCTTTATTTTTTTTTATTTTTAAAAGAATAAGATTATGGAACTGAAGCTAATTCCATATTAATTAACAAATATCTTCTGTAAATGTGCCCTCTCATATATATATTTTTATGTCATTGAAACTAGAAATAACATCCTCGGAGATCCAAGCTTTAGATTGGAGTGGTATATATCGTAACATGCATGTCTAATTCTTGTGGTATTTCTCAAGTTCTGTTAAAACTAAATCATGAAATTCTTGAAAACTAAAGTTAAATACAAACCGGCACTGAAGCTCATTTTCTTTTCTTTCTTGTTCTTTCTTTTATTTCTTTTTTTCTCATTTGTAAAAAGACGACAAGGAAGGATAACTTGCACCAAAGCTAACTAGCACATCACTAACAAAAGTGCAAAGAAAAACCACTAAAGCAAACAAATTCCGAAAGGCAAAAAAAGAAAAAAAAGAAAAAAAAAAGAAGCCTTAAAAAAGCATCAAACTATGTGAGGAAAATTGCGCAAAAACAAATAGATAAAGTATCTACTCTCTTAAAAAATTACTAAAGGTAATTGTATGAAGCCAAAAATAGTCAGAAAATCTCCTCTTCCATTTGTCCTTATGTAACTAAAACTTATTAAGCATGAAACTCTTCAAAAAAAAAAAAAAAGTGAAAGCTTGAAGAATTAATTCAACCAAGGCAAGCTAGAAACAAATTCATGAAAAAAATGGCATGCCCGAGTACTTACTGAAATATTCACCAGAGATGGTAACGTGAAGAATGGTGTCCCCATTATTTCTACGTAAATATTCTTCCTTTATTTCTACGTGAAGAATGTTCTGGGTCAGGTAAAAGAAAACATCATCATGGCCATGACAAGCTGCCAAGAAGATTGGCGTCTCCCCCTCCTCGTTGCGAACAGCAAGAAGATTGGCCATAACTTCGCGATTTTTCGACACCATTTTCGCGCATATTTTCAGGTTCCCGAGACTTGCAGCCAAATGCAGTGGCGTGTTTCCTTTTGCGTTCTTCATCCTCATAAGCACATTTTCATTGATTGTTTCGAGCAATTCGGCGACTCTTGTAGTCCGCCCGTTTGAAACCGCAATGTGCAAAGCTGTATCTTCCGACCGGGTTATCAGCTTGGCCTCGTGAGCTGTAGAGTCATTCTTGTATATCGTCACGACCTCTTCCCATTTGTTCTTCATCACAGCTTTGAATAGTTTGTCGATAAGTTCTTCTTCTGGACCGGTTTTGTTTTTGGTATCCTCTGAAGGATCCATAGTTTTAATGTGTAGTAGCAAATCTAAAAAAAAATGATGATTTGGTTTTGTGAAGAAAATATGATCTTGTGCAAGCTTATATATACAAACTAGTCTACTTTATAATATGCATTGGCATGCATATCATATGTCTGCCAATGAGAAGCCAAGAAAGAATACTCGTGATTCACACACAAGTACCCAAAAAAAAAAAAAAAAAAAAAAAAATCAAAAAAAAAAAAAAAAAAAAAACTTCAGAAAAAGAAAAAAGTAAAGTAATGGCTAGGGTACTTAATTTCTTTTTGTCTTTTATTTCTTTGCTTCACTTGGCACTGTATGTGCTTATCTATTCCTTTTTGCTTTTTCTTTATTTGGAAAAGGCGGGAGTATTAGAGCCATCTGTACGCTATTAAAACGTGGGACATGCGAACAACAACATATAAACGTAAATAAGTTGTTCGGTTATATGCTTTTCAAAGTATTTTTTGTATTTATTTTCTGATATTAATAAAATTATTGAGGCATTTCATTATATGTTCTGTGCATAAGAATCTTTGAAAAAATGTCATTTTAATTATATTTTATATATTTATGTTATTTTTACAGACAATCACAGAAGTCATAAATACAAAAATATCTTATGATTAAATAAATGAAGTTCGCAGTTGATAAATAAAGTTGGGTTTAGACTGTATTAAGTTCATTTGAGTGATTTGTCTTGATTATGTATGAATTTACTGGTGTAGTATGTCTACGTTAAACTGAATAAAAAATGAGATTTAATTGACCTTTAAATAACTATCAGACATTGAATCTCGTCGGCATTGATTTTACTTTAATCTTGATCTTACATTAATTATAATTTCATATTTATAAATATCTTTTCGTTTGAGTTATTAATGAATGAGATCACTTCATTGACATTAATATTTTCAATAACTTAGCAGTATTTATGAATAGTGAAAATTATGAATTAATAATATGGAATTTGTATGAAATATGCTTTACCATGCATATCATATGTCTGCCAGAGAGAAGCCAATAAAGAATACTCGTAATGCACACCACAAAAAAATAGGTAAAGTAATGGCTAGGGTAATTTCTTTTTGTCTTTTATTTCTTTGCTTAATTTGGCTTCTTTTTTTTTTTTCTGTTCACTTAATTTGGCATTTCCATGCTTATAATTTTAAGGTGTGTTTATTGACACCATTTTTCTACTTTTCACACACATTCTTAAACCACCCTCATTCTACTTATTACACTGCTCTTAAAATTTTAAAAAATTCCCTAAAACTAAATCACTTTCAATTCTACTTTTTACACTACTTCTTACACACACATTCTTAAACAACTCTACATTCTATTTGTTACGCCATCTTAGAATTTAGAAAAAAAAAAAAGTCGTGTTTTTGTCTTTTTTTTTTAATCCTCCCACCAATAATAAGAACATTGTTTCCATTTTTCTTCTTTCTTTTTTTGTTTGTTTGTCATTCTTCTATGATGTTGCCAAATTAAAAAGTGACTCAAAATATTAAGCGGAGCACTTCCTGGTACCTATACGATCTTCGGAGAGAGCCTCTTGGACGACGCTGTTTAGATCAAAAGGCTTTTCTTGGTGAACGAACTGGTTCCTAGACCTGCATATAGTTTCCCAAAGCACTAGACGCAAAGAAAATATAATCCAAAGAAGTTGGGACGCTGTTGTCACCAAATAGGATGATCTTCGGTCATAGTGAAGTCAAATTTCCATACTCAATTCACACAGTAAAATCCGCATGTCAGCGTGCAGAATATATAGTCATAGTCAAAAAAATTTCTTTAAATTTTTTTTTCATAAATCATGATTTTTTTTTTTAGAACTAATGATATAACCATCAAAATTAAATTAAAACAAAAGAACTTTTAAGAAATAATTTAACCATGTACCTCTTTATGGGGAGACTCTTTCACGTTAGAATTCATCGTTATTCTTCTGAAAAAGTAGGACACAGTAAATTTTAGAAGGCAATATATTTTTTCTTAATGATGGAATGTGCAATGAGTATTTTTAAAAAATATTATTGTCCTTAACAATAATTTTATTAATGGGTATTTTAATAATATTTAAAAAATGTATAAAAAAAAGGTGCCCATAATTTTATCTGGCCAGTCTATTCCCTTTTGCTTTTTCTTTATTTGGAAAAGTCAGGAGTATTAACCAGCTGTGCGTGACTAAAACAAAAAAAACAAAAAAAAAACAAAAAAAACCAGCTGTACGTTATTACAACGTGAGACATGAGATCATACAACAACGTAAACATATGTAAGTAACATGTTATTGAAAAAAAAAAAAAAAGATCTGTAGTACTAGAGTTATATATACGTCTCATTTAATTCATGAGGTGTACTTATTTCAGATACTTATTCCGTATATAATTAGACATGAATATGCATTTCAGGCATGTTTGGTGCGTAGAAAAGGATTAGATAAGGTTGGATAAGATTAAATTTTAATACTGGTTTAAAGAACATATTTAAAGCACTGGATTGGATAAATCTTTGTCCAGCCCCATGCTCAAATCTTCTAAGAAGGGGATGTTGTTATCCCTGCTGAAGGATGGGATAACTTTTAACTAGACAATATTGTGGAAAACAGTTAATCACCAAGAACGTATTTGTAAATTTTTATGAAATTAAGGGTCTAGTTGTAAAATTAGAGCAGCTCTGTCTGAGATTCATCAATTAGCAGCTTCCTTTTCCTCTTTGGACAGGCTAAGGTCATAACTCTAAGGTCACGAAAAGGACTGGTGCTTTAGAGATAAGCGAGTTTGCCTCAGGATGTTCTGTCCAATTCTGTGGTCTGGGGTCAGTAGTTTTTCTTCGGGTTTGCTGTCTTTTATTTGTTTAGTTGGTTTTGTTGCGTTTGTTCTTCTGGTGGTTTTCTTAGTTTGGTAGTCTTTGTTTAGTTGGTTTGTCGAGTCTTAGATTTTGAATTGAGTTATGATGTATTTGAATATGGTTTGAGTTGATAATTTGAGTTTGTGTTTGGACGTGCACATTTTGATTTATGATTTGAATTGAGAATCTATTTGAGTTTGTATTTGGGTGGGTTAAAACTTGAATTTGTATTTAGATAATATTTTAATAAAAACACAATGGTGATAGAGAATATTAATAGGGTATATGGATGAGGTTTTATTCGTCTTTTTATTGTGAACACATGGAAAAAAATCATCTTAATGGGAATTAAAACGAAAAAGTTATAACGTTTTTAAAAATTAAAAAAAAATATTATTCATTAACTTGGGTTTAAATTTATAAACTTAAATTGAAAGGGGAACTTGAACTCAGATTCTAATTCTAAACTCAAGTTCAAACTTAAATTTTACAAAAGAACATGAATTTAAATAAAATTGTAACTTAAATTTAAACATTTTTTGAGTTTGAATACAAATGAAGAAGTCATTAGTTTTTTATGTTGTTTTTGCGCTGTTGCGCCTGTTGTGGTAGGCCCTTGGCCCTGTTTCTTGTGCGAATGAAGATCACATTTAGTCATAAAAAAAAAAAAAAAAAACATTGGGTTAGATTAAACTAAAATCTAATCCTACTCTTTTCCATACATTTCAATTCATTACTTTAAAATTTTGCTATCTAATGTTGTCCTATCCTACGCACCAAACGAAACGTACATTTATTTCACAGCAAATGACGCCGATGCCTCGCATTTCTGAGGACGGTACTTTATTCTAGTAAATAATTCTGCAGTAATATAATTTTTTCTAGTTAATTAAACGAATAATTTTCAATTTTTTTTTTTTGTTTCTTAAAATAAGCAAAGCGTAAGCGAATAACTTGCTTTGAATACCCTTCTCTAATTTGTCGATTTATTTTTTATTTTTTAAATTTTGACTACGCAAATCATGCGATATTGGGGTTGTGTATAATCCAAGCTGGGCATCAACGTTGCTCCACTTGCAAGACATGTTTGCTTTCTCTTTTTTACTTTTCAAAGGGGATTAATTTGATTTTTCTTTTTTTTAATAAAAAGAAAAAGTTTTTTGGCACAAGTACTGACCTTTAACTTGTCATGATTGGTAAAGAAAAAGAAACTATCGGCATAATATTGGAACTTTTTTTGTTTTTTTTGCCGGTCGAATATTGAAACATTCTTAGTAAAAGAACTCTGGTTGGTAAATGATATCGATTTAAGTGGAAAGAATTACTGGGAAAAATTGAGTGAAACACACAAAAATAAAAATACAAATAAAAATGAGGGATTTTTACTAATAATTTCTGTAAAAATAAATTATCGATAGTTATTTACTTCTTAACCGTCAGATCTATATTAAAAGCGGTCTGTTTTACTTTTTACATATTAAAACATTAGTGTAAACTAGTACCATGCCTACAAATTTCTTTATGTAGAGATGGACTTTTTTAGATTCTTAATTTATTCTACATCGTACAAATAACATGATTAATTGAACGCAAGATTCACTCTTTATTTAACGAGCAGGAAGATTTTAGATAGGAAAGCATTTAGCATCTTTAAACTACCATTCAAGCAATCTCGAGCTCTTTCTACATTTAGAATCCAATGACAGCTTTTTTTTCTATTTTATTTTTTTACTGGTAGCTTTTTTTTTTTTTTTTTTTTTTTTTTGGAAATTTTTGGGGGGTTTTTTACGCCGGGTTTTTTTTTTTGTTGAGAAATTACTGGGAGCTTTCTAACGCAGTGACTGTATAAAAAACTGATGCATATATAGAGGACTTTTTCTGAATGTGGTTTAAAGTGATAAAATCATATTTGTTAATGAAAAGTACGCAAAACAGTCAAAACTTTACACATATAGATATGATGGTTCAATACAAATTTCTATCCGTAAGACATTTTCCCATACCTTATAAATTTAATTAAAAACAATAAATGTTCACATAACAACATGTGTTAAAAAACAAGAATCGCATAACCATAAGCCAAATTAGCAGCGCATGTATAGACAGGATACAGAACATGCTCAACTAGGCGCTAGTGATTCATTTGTCGCCAA